CAACCAAAAGGTCAATGCCCAATCCATAGCAGCCTAGAGATCTGCACTCTTCCAATCAAAGACTAGGAGTGTTGAATGGGAAAACAAATGGAAGCCTTTTTACAGAGTACCCCTGCCCATAGAGAAGTAGGGAACACCTCTGTGACCTGGTGCCTCTTTGTGGGGCAGGAGGCTGACATTGCTAATGGGCCAAAGCACAGACTCTCAGTATCTGATAATTTAACTCTCAACTTCTACTCTTTCAGAGACACACTCACCTCGAAAGTAAAAGTTAAACAGGGATATATACAGTGCGTGAAACATCTGGGAATTCAATGGTAAAAGCTTCTTGTCTGTCTCAACTGGTATCATCACCTCAGGCAGCTGGAATGCTAAACCAATGGGGAAAAAAACTGGTGAGAGCTTTTTTCTATGAAGATGACCCTTAAATTAAATTTACCCCAAGGCCTGTGAATGGGGTGTTTTAAGGAATCCTTCAGAAGTGGCCAAAGATTAACAATTCACTGGGATAGGACTTTTTTCCAAGAACTGGGAAAGTGGCAGTGTGAATATGGTCTGTCCCCTCCAGTGGCTGTTAGGTTACTGATTTTCACAAATACTGCAATTACAAAGCTTCTGGTTTTCAAGACTACAATGGATCTGGTGAAAGAATGAAAGGAACAGGACGTACTGAGATTCATTCCTCCCATACACACTTTTTTTTCCTTAATGAAGTCTTCTCAGATTTTTTTTTTTTGGACAGGGGATTGAATTCAGGACCGTGCGCTTGTAAGGCAGGCAGCAGAACAACTGAGCTAAATCCCCAGCCCTTCTCAGATTTTTTGCAAATATTTTGATAATTTCTAAAGTTCTGAAAACATTGATTTTGACAATATTTGTCTGTAGTAATTGGTTTGTTTTTAAATAGACTTTCAGAGGTTTTTATTCCACTACAAATCAGTCCAGCCACCCAAGAACAATTTGGCATTTCAACATTATTCACAAAAATAAAAAGCTAGAAGTAATTTAAATGTCTCTCAACTGAGGAGTGGGTTTAAAAAAATATGATATAGCCACACAACAATTGTTCAACAATAAAAAGGAAGTGCTGATACATGTTACAACAAGGATGGTCCTTGAGAACATATGTAAGTTAAAAAGCCAGTCACAATTTGCTACATATTTGTACAATTCCATTCCCATGTAATATCCAGAATAGATATATCTATAGAAACAGAAAGTAACTTGGTGGTTGCCTAAGGCTGGGCGGAGATGGAAGAACTGGGAAGGAGATGGCTAAGTGGTACAGAACTTTTTTTTTTTTGGAGTGATGAAATTTTTCTGGAAAATTTTTGCCATTGTATATTTACCTGCTTGCTTGCTTGCTTGCTTTTTTATTTATTTTTATTTATTCACCCACTTACTGGGTTTATTGGCAGCCTCTATATCCTCTTTTTTTCAAGGTTTCCCAAAGGTAAAACCCTTCAGGTGATTCATTTCTCTTCAGATGGATTTTTCACTTTTGAGTTTAGTTCTCCTACTCGCTTTATGAATGACTCCAGTTCTTTGATGTGCCTATGAAAAGTTAAAATTTACAACCTGTCCAATTTGCACTTCATAGTTAAGGAGAATGGGACCCATATTCTCTTCAGGTCTCTACAACCTAAGCAAAAGCTTATTTAATGTATGTTTTTACATCAGACACTTATTTTTCATGCCTAGCAATTCCATTTGGGTCTTGTTATATCTTCATTTTTTTCTCCTTATCATTTCATGCTTTCCCTTATATCCCTGAGCATATTTGTGAGATTTAACTATTAATTTCTTCATTTCTAGATATTCTATTAACTGATTTTCCTCTTCATAAAGTATCCTTTATTTGCTTACTAATATACCCAACATATTTTCAATAGATTATCAGATATTGTGACTTTTAGTTTCAACATTTAGTTTTGTAGGGTGCTAGATTTTGTTGTTTACCTTTAAAGAGTGTTGGATTTTGTTCAAATGCAGTTAAGTAACTTGATGACTCTTTTGAGGTTTGCTTTTATGGTTTATTATGATGATTCAGAGAAGCCTTTTTTCTAGAACTAATTTAGTCACGATACTAAGGCATGACAATTCTGAGGACTCTGCCCAATGCTGTGTGGGTTAGGAGCTCTCTCCACTAAGACTGGTAGGAACAAGAACTACTCCCAAATTTTAGGAACTCCAAGATTTGCTTTCCAATTCTTCTTTCCTTGACTTCAGTGGGTTTCTTCATACCTACCCACATTAGCACTCAGCAAAGACTTGAAGAGACCTTTCTGCATACCTCTGGAGTTCTCAATGCAGCTCCTTTTTCTCCAAATTCTAACTATCTAGACTTTCCTGGGCTTAGATCTGTCACTTCGATCCAGAATGATCACCAGGCTCAGCTCTGGTTTTTCTCCCCAGAGATGTGGCCTAAAAACTATCTCCAGGAGGAAAAGTTGTATCATCAGAAATCTCCCATTTCTTTCCTTTCTGTTAGGGATCATAC